AGTCATGGGAGCTCCTTGTGGTCAGAAATTACACAGGAAAAGGCCTGGAGAGGGGGAGCTATTCAGGAAGGGGATCTTGTGGGCTTTATGTAAAGATGCTTTAAAATACAGACAGCCCTGCCAGCGTGGCCCTGGTCAGGGCGTGTGGGAGGCAACTAATCCATCTCTCTCCCTTTCTCCTCTCCCCTACCTCCCTTCCACTCTCTCTAAAAATCAATGGAAAAAATATCCTCTGGTGAGGATTAACAAAAAATAAATAATATACAGTTAAACGTCCTTTCAAAGTATTGAATACTTTAAATATGAGGTTTGCTGAACATCCATTATACCTCAACAAAGCTTTTTCATTTCTATACTAGTATGTGTGTATGTATGTATGTATGTATGTATTTGTTTATTTTTGGTTAGTCCTCACCTGAGGATATTTTTCCATTGATTTTTGGAGCGAGTGGAGAGAGGGAGGGAGAGGAAGACGCGCACACACTGATGGGCTGCCTCCCGCAAGGCACCCTCCCTCCTCCCATCCCAGGGCTGGGAGGAGACCTGGTCCTGAGGGCGCCCTAGAGATGAGCAGGCCGCACGACGGAATCGGGGGGGAGTCCCCACCTCGTCCCCTGCACCCTTCCCCTCCTGTCTGCATCCTGCCCTGGTCCTGTCAGGCTGTCCTCCGGCCCGGCCCCTGTTAGAGTCCCTGGGAAGGGCCCGCCCATCAGCTCAGAGTGTCGGGGATGGGGCCTTGGCCGGTGCTTTCCAGCTCACTGTGGGGTCAAGGCCGAGAAAAACGCCCCAGTTCCTCCCCAGAGGCCCTGCTGTGCCCACGGACAGGCACTACAGGATTGTGTGGGTGTGCAGGTGGCCAGGTGGCCTGGTCTGGGGGAGGTGCCCACCCTGCCCTCCAGGGTTTCAGAAACTTGCAGGGAGGCAGGTCACAGACTTCATTGTGACTTGGCTGTCTGGGTGCCCAGAGGCAAACAACAAGGGCCTTTGTTCCCCACACTGCACACCCCAACCCCCCCCACACACCCCGCCCCCAGGCTCCTGTGCAGAGGGCAGGGGTCCAGAGAGGCCCGACCCCCTCCAATGGGCAAGGGCCCCTCTCCTGCCTTCCTTTCCAGTTCCCCTTTGCCCTGGGGCCGCCTGGGAGGTGGGGCTGGGCCGTAACTTCAGCCCCTTCCCCCCTGGCCTAGCGGCTGTAACCACAGCAACATGTGGGTAGAGCACTGGCAGGATGAGGTAACAGGTGCTGTTTGAACTCACAACGGGGTGACACGTGGTAGGATTATCGGTCATGTCAGTACGATTATCCCTGCTGTCCAGACGGGGACTCAGGTTCCAAGTTTAGTAACTTCCCGAGATCATGGACTACGGATTTTGGGAGTCGGCTGCAGACCTGCCCTTTACCTCGACCCTGAGGGCAGGAGCCAGGGTGACCCCCCCACAAGGGCAACGCTTTATACAGTCACAATTCCAGGGGGCGGGCAGGATTCCTCTTTCATCCTTTTTGTTTGTTTTTAATCCTCACCTGAGGATATTTTTTCCCATTGATCTTAGAGAGAGAGTGTGGAAGGGTGGGGGGAGGAGGAGAGAGAGAGAAACATCTATGTGAGAGAGATACATGGACTGGTTGCCTCCTGCATGTGCCTGGACCAGAGCTGGGATCAAACCTGCAAGAGGTACATGCCTGGGAATCGAACCCTCAACCCGTCGGTCAGAGGGCTGACCTCTAACCACTGAGAAACCAAGCAGCGTTGAACCACTGTCCCTGAAAGTCCACGTTGCTGCTGCTTGCCGAGGGCTCATGCAGCGTGTCAGACATAACTGCGGGAGCGCTTTGGGCCTAAAGAGAGAGGCACGGGCGAGAACCCGAGCCCAGAAATAGAGTCAGAAATAGGGACGGATGCCTTTGACCCTGACGGAGCCAGACCCCTTGACGTGTGCCTTCTCTCCCAGGTACACCACAGCACCTCCAGCACTCACCCGACCCAAGGCAGCGGCTTCTGGGACAAGGAAGGTACAGTGGTCGGCTACTCTGTACTTCTGAGCATCCTCGTTAGCGGGCAGGAGGGGAGAGCACACCAAGGAGGACTCTCAGCAGACTGCTGGGCCGGAGCTCTCCGGACCCCCACCCCCTGGCCCCAGAATGAAGCAAACAGCCGCCAGGGCTCCTCAGACCTGGCCACTAGGGCTCTCTGCACCCCAGTAGAGGAGGCTGGGTCAGTAGGTTCCCTGGGGTACGGCCAGCTGGACGTGGAAGTCCTGTGATCTGCCTTTAAAAGGCCTGTGAATTTGAGACCCCACTCCCCCAAATGTCCTTACCATAAAGGTCACATTTAAAGTAGACACCACGGCCTGGGAAGATGAGCCGTGTGCCCGGCTCTGTAGCTAAGAGTCGACGGTGGCTGTGGCCGAGGTGCCATCCCCAGCACGTGACCTGCGTGCTCAGACATAAGCCTCATGGCAGAACGTGGCACAGAGGGCCGGGCACCGTGCTCAGGCTGCTTGGGGAGAAGAGGCGAGACCGGGGTTTGAGCTTCTGGTCTGACCCCAGAACCCGGCTCTGAACCACTGAGCAGCAGGGCTGGGAGGACAGGTGTCCTCGAGCATCTCCCGAGCGCTTGGCCAGGTCTTTCTTTTAAAATATATATTTTTATTGATTTCAGAGAGGAAAGGAGAGAGAGACAGAAACATCAATGATGAGAGGGAATCACTGATTGGCTGCCTCCTGCACGCCCCCTACTGGGGACTGAGCCCACAACCTGGGCATTTGCCGTTGACCAGAATCGAACCCGGGACCCTTCAGTCCACAGGCCAATGCTCTATCCACTGAGCAACACAAGCCAGGGCCAGATCGTCTTTATATTCCTCAAGTCCTTTCCCCTTGGAAATGCTTGATGCTAAATGATATACATCCCCATCCGGTTTAAAAGGAGGCTTTGAGGCAGCTTTTAAATACATATAGCAATGCCCTAACCGGTGTGGCTCAGTGGACAGAGCATCGGCCTGTGGACTGAAGGGTCCCAGGTTCGATTCCGGTCAAGGGCATGTACCTTGGTTGCAGGCACATCCCCAGTAGGGGGTGTGCAGGAGGCAGCTAAATTGATGTTTCTCTCTCATCGATGTTACTAACGCTATCCCTCTCCCTTCCTCTCTGTAAAAAATCAATAAAATATATATTTTTAAAATAAATAAATACATATAACAAGGCAGAAACATGAAAAGAGGAAAATAAGTGTGCGAAGGAAAATGAAGGCTGGGAAATGAGGTGGCCGGTAAGCGCCTGAGAAATGTGCCCCCAGGTGTGAGGCAGGCCAGACGGCTGGCTCTGAGCTTCCTGGGGGCCACGGTGAAGGAGGAAACTGCCACCGGGTCCCTGAGAGAAAAGCGAGCCAGATGCCGAGGGCAGCACCGCCCTTCCCGACGGACACAGACGCGAGCTTTTCTCCTGGAGCCTCGTTCGCGGGCCGGGAGGCGGGGCAGCAGTGACCCTGCGCTATGTCCGGCCAGAGCGCTCGCTATGGAAACATGACCTCAACGTTCCGACAAGACTGACACCTTAGGAAACAGCCTGAGCACCGCACAGATGTGTTTGCTTCTGAGCGACTGCCAGTGAGAACGCCGGTTAAATGCGGAGAACCACCCTGCCGAGGGACATCGAAGGAATTCACAAACGCGCACACGCACACGCCAGCTGCCCCATCGCGTTAAGCCCTCTTTCTGCCCTAATAGCTCCCGAGCCGCCACCGCGGACGCCCATCCACAGTGACTTTCCCAGGTCAGACGCCGTACTTGGCAGCGCTCCGTCCTGAGGCGCTGAGTGTGCACTGCGCTCCCACCTCTGGGCTGCGTGCGTCCGGGCCAAGTGTGTGAGTGCCGTGCCACCTGCCCCCTTTCCCCAACCGGGGGCCTGACTGCACAGTCCGGCACAGGGTGGCGGTCTTCACATTACAGCAGGAGCGACCACACACAGCTCTTCCCTGCAGTGCCTTCGATCCAACCAGCACCAACAAGGGGCCCTCAGTGGGGAGAGCAGCCCCGGCCACGGCGGTGGGACTCTGCCCTGGGCTGCAGGCGGACGGAGGACGGACGGCGCCTGTTCGGTATTCCCTCCTTCCAGCTCCGTGCCCAGGCTCCGTGAGGCCTCCAAGGGCTGGAGCTCATGACCAATCTCGGTGGCTTAAACCGAGAGGTGTTTGCTCGCACAGTCCTGGAGGCCTGAAGTCTGAAGTCAAAGCGTCCGCAGGGCTGTCTGGGGGACCCGTCCTGGCCTCCTGCACCTCCTGGGGGTCCAGGCGCGCCTCGGCTGGTAGCCGCATCACTCATTCTCCGCCTGTCATCACAGGGCCTCCTTAGAAGGGCAATGAACTTGGGACCCACCTGAACACAGTGTGACCTCATTGGAACCACCTACGTCTGCACAGGCCCGTTTCCAAACAAGGCCGCATTCTGAGGTCTGGGCAGGCAGGAACTTCGGGAGGACACCGCTCAGCGCAGAGCAGGCAGCGGCTGGGAGAAGGACGCGCATGCGTCTCCTGCAGCCCATCCCACCTCCCCGCAGTGAAGAGGCCAGAGCTCACGGATAAATCCCAGGCTTGGTCCAGGCCGAGGATCCAGAGCCCCGGCTGGCGGGCCTCCTCCCAAGGCGGGCAGCTCTCACCCATTCGTGGGAACACACCCGAAGTTCCCCCGGGAGTGAGGGGCAGGGGCAGGAGCAGGAGGCAGAGCCGGCAGGCCACAGAGATGTGGCGTCCAGGGGCTGGGCAGGGGAAACCCAGAAAGCTCTCTGGTCCCCAGGTCTGGAGGGGGAGGCCTCCAAGCTCCAGGAGGCCCCGCCCACCCGCCCCAGTCC